CTACTGACACTTCAATTTACAGTTTTTCTGGTAAAGTAGATTGACTTGCTAGCCTTTGCTTTCTTGTGGTTATAATTGACAAATAAATCAGACAGGTGAACATCCCACTCAACTGGCTCCCTGGACCACATAATCAGCCACTGACATGCCACTCATAGCAAATAAAGCAGACAAGATTTGCAATGTGAGGAGGTGAATATCTCACTCAACTGGCTCCCTGGACCACAGAATCAGTTGCTGACATGTCACTCACAGTTTATAAAGTAGACAAAATTTGCAATGTGAGGAGGTGCATATCCCACTCAACTCTCTCCCTGGACCACATAATCAGCCACTGACATGCCACTCATAGCAAATAAAGCAGACAAGATTTGCAATGTGAGGAGGTGAATATCTCACTCACCTGGCTCCCTGGACCACAGAATCAGCCGATGACATGCCACTCATAGCAAATAAAGCAGACAAAATTTGCAATGTAAGGAGGTGAATATCCCACTCAACTGGCTTCCTGGACCACAGAATCAGCCGATGACATACCACTAACAGCTAATAAAGCAGACAAAATTTGCAATGAGGGGAGGTGAATATCCTACTCAACTAGCTCCCTGGACAATATAATTTAACAAGCAAAGAATGACGCAATATCACCATCAAGTCTTGATGTCAAAATCTGTGTGCTAGGGAGTCAATTGTGAGACAAGACAACTGACAAATCCATCTTTCCATATGGGCTCCCTAGCACACAGAATTTGACAGTAAGACTTGATGTTGATAACACTTACACGTAGAGATACCAGATTCAACTCAAAACAATACACATTAGTTCATTACAGAGAGTCCAACTTTATTCTTTCAATCAGTCAGCTGAGGTAACCCCTCGCTGTAGAGTACTCTCACACTTCTCCTTCTCTTACAAAAGTTTACAAATCTCAAAAGTCAAGTCTCTAAGGCGTGGCCAAGTAAACATGCGATCAGCCAATCACTGCAGATATTGGTACGATCACATGATTACCAGGGATGTGTATCACGGTTATAGCCTTGCAAAGTTGCCACTACTAAATACAATAAGTAAACAATCTATCAAAACGTTATAAAAAAGTTTCAAATTGACCACTTTTACAAAATGTTCTGAATATGACTGAAATAACAGAGACTGATTTATTTTTTTAATTCTAGTGAGTTACACAAATTCAAAATAACAAGTTTTTCAATTTTCTGAATATTATTGAAATAATAATGACTGGTTTATTTTTTTCTAATTTTAGCGAGTTACACAAATTCAAAATAACAAATTTTTAAATTTTCTGAATATTATTGAAATAATAAAGACTGTGGTTTATTTTTTCTAATTCTAGTGAGTTACACAAATTCAAAATATTAAGTTTTTCAATTTGCTGAATATTATTGAAATAATAAAGACTGTGGTTTTTTTTCTAATACTAGTGAGTTACACAAATTCAAAATAACAAGTCTTTCAATTTTCTGAATATTATTGAAATAATAAACACTGGTTTATTTTTTCTAATACTAGTGAGTTACACAAATTCAAAATAACAAGTATTTCAATTGTTGGGTATGATTGGGCAATGTTCTACAATTATTAGACTT